AGTGAGTGAGTGAGTGAGTGAGTGAGTGAGTGAGTGAGTGAGTGAGTGAGTGAGTGGGTGAGTGAGAGAGTGAGTGAGTGAGTGAGTGGGTGGGTGAGTGTATGAGTGAGTCAGTGAGTGCCAGCTCGCAACCGCGTGTGACGCACACGTGACGTAGGTTAGGATGTGGTCAATGAAGCATCGGATACGATAACGATGGCGGTCAGGGACGACATTAGGTGACGTCCACACTGTGATCATGATTATCTTGCTCGAAATTCTTCGTTAAGGGAGATAGGACGAGACTGAGGGAATCGTTAACTCCAAGGAAATTGCTAAAGTAAGTATAACTAGAAGATGATTCAAATGAAGATAGACCAAAGCACCATTTGAATAAAATTATCAAAATGAAAATTTTACAATGCTATTGTATTACGTAAACGAGAAAATGAAAGTATCCTTGTTTCTTTGTAAAATAAAATGAAAAAAATAAATAAAATTGTCGCAATAAAGTGTTCAAAATATTATCACAGTTTATAGGTATTAATGGGACAACTGTAACCTCGTCGTTTCAAGTGGAAGCAGATGATACACTTAATAGAATCTCCTTTTAAATTGTCGAATCAATTATTAATATTGACCGTGAGATTACGCTGCTTGGAAATCCTCGAAAGAATAAAGGGACTTGATTGAGTACATTATTGAACGAGGGTTCAAAGTAGCCCATTTCGTTTATACGGGTAAAGTGTTTCATTACTGGACCATTCAGGTTAATAATGGCTTACTTCCTCATAAGTTCAATATTTCAAGATGCATCTCGTGAGTTTGTTACTTTTAGACAAATACTGTACACGTTATACCTAACGACAAAATTTTAAATACAAAAAGTAACAAACAAAAAAAAACTAATTAACTGTACAAATGAAAATTCTTACAATTTACGATAAATTTTACGAAAAGTAATTTCCAATTTTAACTGGAATAAAAAGTAAACAAATATTGCTACGACAGAATCAGATTTCCTATCGGAGACTTTTTATTTCTAAACGACTTCTCTAATCAACGGAACTACAATCTGGTCGAACGACAAATTCTTTCTACCAGGATTTAATTTTCGAAAATGGATGCCCTTTCCAACAGCCTGTGGTTTGCAGGTCACTCCGCATTTTGAGATAACGAACAGATCTGTGCTTCACCATACAGTGAACTCAAAATTCGAAGCCAATCAACATTGAAACGTGAAACCGCACGGGCGACCTGCTTTTCGAAATTCTACAAAGAGAAGATTTTCAGTTGTCCGAATTTCTGAAGTAGGATGTAACTATTATATCAAAGCTACTGTGCTACATCTTTGTCTAATGGCTATTGTGATTATCGAGTAATATTATAAAATAATTCTTTGTATCCCTAATTTTTGTCT